TTTACCCCCCGTAGGATATCGTGATAGCACCTAGTCTCTAAGACTAGGTAAGCATAACAATTTTTGCGGAAATACATAAAATAAAACTGAAGCCAGATTCTCAACATATGAAATAAATATAAAACTGCAACCCAATAATTTTAACTCCCAAAACCCGGTAGAAATAAGTCACAAGCTTCTAAGAATTTATATTGAGTGTCTCAATTCATTAGAGTCTAAAGACAAATCAGGAAGATAACATAATAAGGATAGAAGGGGACTTCGAGTTCTGCGGACGCTAGCAGAAGTACCTTGAAGTCTCAGTGTATAGCTAGTTCACTGATACCTGGTCTGATGGGAAGTACCTGGATCTGACAAAAGATGTGTAGAGTGTAGTATGAGTACACCACAACGGTACGCAGTAAGTGCCAAGCCTAACCTCTGTAGAGTAGTGACGAGGTCAAGTCAGGGCCCTACTAGTTTAAGGGAAAAGTAAGGCAGAAGATATAATAATACTTTTGAAATGACTGAGGATTTAAACAATAAGACGTTTCAGAAAATATCAGCACAGTAAATAGAGGTGAACAACAGGGGCACTCCCGAGGTACCGCCTCGTAGTCCCAAAAGTAAATATGCAGTACAGGAGAATCTCCCAAGGTACCGCCTCATAGTCCCAAAAGTAAATATGCAGTACAGGAAAATATTCCGAGGAACCGCCTCGTAGTTCCAAAATAAATATGCAGTACAAGGGAGATCTCCCGAGGAACCACCTCGTAGTCCCAAAAGTAAAGATGCAGCAGGTAGTCGGAGGAACAACAATTTTCAGCAAGACATCTTACAGTTAAAGATTTAAATCAAATCAAGGAAAGCAGGTAAATCAACCAATGCTAAAACCACGAATCATGCTCCAATTCAAGCTTAATGAAACTTAGAAATTCCAACTTCTACATTCGATACCGAAACCTATCAAATCAAGTCTGATTGACCTCAAATTTTGCACACAAGTCATAAATGACATACATACCTATAATAATTTTCAGAACTGGATTTCGACCCTGATATCAAAAAGTCAATTCCCTGGTCAAACTTCCAAACTTAAATTTCTATTTTATCTATTTCAGGCCTAATTTAACTACAGACTTTCAATTAACAATTCGGACACGTTCTAAGTCCAAAATCACCATACGGAGCTATTGAAATCATCAAAATTTTATTTCGAGGTCGTTTTCACCTAAGTCAACATCTAGTCAATCATTTCAACTTAAGTTTTTATCGTGGAGACTAGGTGTCTCAATTCATTCTGAAATCTCTTCGGACCCAAACTGACTACCCCGACAAGTCATATAATAACTATAAAGTACAGAATGAGCAGTAAATGGGGGAATGGGGATGCAACTCTCAAAATGACTGATCAGGTCATTATAGTAGGGTAATATATGGCTTCAAAATATTTTAACCTAAGATTAAAAATTAGAGGGATGATGGTGAGTGAGGTGTGGCCTATTTATATTGGGGGTAGGACAGAACATATTTTCAAATATTGATAAAGATCATTTACCAATTCCTGAACTGGCAGATTATGCTAGGAGTTTTGGAATTACTAAGTTAGGAAAGACCTTTATGGTTCTATCTTGGGGGGAGGGGGGGTAATTTGTTTGAATTGAAAAATGATAGAGACATATATGGCCTTTCACTATTGTTATCTGATGAGGACACAATAGATATTTATGTGGGTGAAGACTCAATTATAGAGGAAGGGGGTCTTATTGGTTTGTCTGGTAGTCAAATAACAAGTATAGATTCCAATTTAAGTATAGTGGGTGAGCCTTTTAATGCACCTGTTAGCATTAAAAGAGGCATCATGGAATCTGATTGTCTTCTTGCTCCATCTACTGTTGCTTTAAATGTTGGGGTGGGTGAACAAGATGCAGATGTAAATGAAGATGAGTATTCTTCAATAGACTGGACAAATACAGAGGAAAAAGATGTTGCACAAGACCTAGCTATTAAATGAAGAAAGAAGAAGTATGAATGGTAAACTATTAGCAGATGAGCCATATTATGATAGTTCTGACTGTGATTCCTTTGATTCTGATAAGGAACCTGAACCTGTATCTAACGATGAAGGTGAATTAGGACAATTAAGTGGTAGAAGAAAGAGTAACAAGGTGAATTATGATCTAACATGCAAGATTGTGATTTGGCAGTTGGGTTTGGTATTTGAAAATGTGACCGAGTTTAGGACAACAGTAACAAAGTATGCTTTGAAGAAGGGAGTTGAGTTAGACAAGTATGTGAATGAGCCTACTAGAGTAAGGGTTAAATGTAAAGGTGGCTGCCCATGGTTGATCTTTGCTATCAAGGAAGGAAGAAGTGAAAATTTCACTGTCAAGACCTACAATCCAAAACACAAATGTCATAGGAAAGAAATCAACTTCCTTTGTAATTCAAAATATCTAGCAGTGTACCTCAAAGATAGAATTATCTCACAACCTACAATCAAAGGGTGGAAAATTCAAGATTTGATAAGGAAAGATCTAGGTAAGTATGTAGGCAAAGTTGTGTGTTTAAAAACAAGGAAGTTAGTATTGCAGAAAGCTATGGGAGATCATGTGGCAGAGTTTAATAGGATTCTTGAATACAGAGATGTCTTGCTCAAAAGTAATCCTGGTAGCACATGTGTGGTTAAGTTGACAGATACAGTAGATGGGAAGAAACAATTCAACTCTTTCTACATTTTCTTTGATGCTATGAAGAAGGGATTCTTACAGGTTGTAGAAAATGTATATGTCTGGATGAATGCTTTCTTAAGGCTCCTAATAGTTGTTGCCAAAGATGAAAACAACCAAATATTTCCAGTGGCATGGGCAGTAGTTACCCAGGAAAAAAAAGAGACATGGAGATGGTTTTTTAAGATTTTTCAACAAGACATTCACTTGGGAGATGGTTCACAGCTCACTATCATTAGTGACGTGCAAAAGGTAAGTCTTTATCTTTATATTAAATATGCATTTTATTACTATTATTATGTTTCTAAGTACATGTTCTTTGTTCTTGAATGACAGGGATTGATATCTGTAGTTGAAGAAATACTACCTGAATGTGAGCATATGATGTGTGCTAGGCACATTTTAGCAAATTAGGCATAGAAATGGGAGAGAGATAGAAAGAAGGAAAAGATTCTGGGATTGTGTTAGGGCTACTTATGAGACAGATTTTATGAGAAAGCTTGATGGTCTAGCTCATCTAGGGAATGGGATTGTTGAAGACTTAAGCAGATACAACAAGGAAAGATAGTGCAAGACTTACTTTTAAACATTCTCCAAATGTGATAGTGTAGACAATAATATAGCAGAAAGCTTTAATGCCTAGATCATAGGCCCTAGGAACAAGCCTATTGTTACTATGTTGGAAGAAATTAGAGTTAAAGTGATGATTAGGGTGAGCAAGTCCAAGGCATTTGCCGAGACATGGGTGGATGGGATATCTCCAATGGCAATGAAGGTGTTCTATAAAAAATATGGAAAAATTAATGCAAATAATAATAGATTGGAATGGAGATGAAGGGTTTGAAGTGTCAGAAGAGGTAAACAAGAAACATATTGTACACTTAGAAGCTGAAAAGTTCAGTTGCACAGCATGGGATTTAAAAGGGATCCCATGTGCACATGCTATAGCAGCAATGCACTGTTTGAGGCAGGATGCATCAGAGGGAATTTCAAGCTGGTACAAGAAAGAGACATATCTGAAGGCATATTCATAATTTATTCAACCTGTGTCATGTATGGCAATGTGGCCAGAAACTGATAATCCAAAGGTTGAGCCTCTTCCAGTGGTGAAAATTATTGGAAGACCAAAAAAGAACAGAAAAAATGAGGTTGGAGAAATCAAAAGAGCTGAAAAGTTACCAAAAAGAGGCATAACTATGACATGCTCAATCTGCAAGGAAGCCAATCATAACAAAAGGGGTTGTCCAAAGAATCTCAATCCTAAAACCAAGGTTAAAGCCCCACCAGAGGTAAAGTTTTAACTTTTAAGTTATTTATGCCTCTAATAATTCATATAGCTCACTAATTATAGTTTTGTTTATGTACTAGTTTGCTGAATCACAATAATCCTCAACTGTTAATCCAAAGAAGAGAAATATAGGTGATTCTGGTACAAACAGTAAAAGTAAAAGGGCTAGAAGTGGTTACAAGAAACCAAGGGTTGTGGGACATGGTGTATTTATTTCGCAAAATGGATATACTAGTATTAATGTAAGTGTCTTAAATTATAAGTTCACTATTTTTGTTAGGCAGAACAAGATCTTGTGCTAATGTAAGTGTGTATGCCTATTTCAGCAAGGGCTGCCTAGCATCAGAATAATTAAAACTCTATTTGCAACTATGATCAATTCAACACATGTGACCGGTGACATTGGTTACCAACCAACCAAAGGGCTTAAATGGAAAGGCAAGACATCTATAACTCAAAGACAACTCCAAGTCCAAAGTGCAAAATATTGTATCACTACTAGATCAAGGGCAGCTGGAATTCGAACAAGGGCACAAGTCAAGGGAAAATCTCCCTCCAAGATCCCATCTTAAATATGTTTTTGTTGGCAGTCTTAACTATTGTTGTGGTATCTTTGAAACAAGGAAGTTGTGTTGTTGACAGTCATATCTTTTGAAACTGCTATTGGGTTTTGGTATTGTGTTTTGGAATGTATTTAAAGCAATAGTTGAAATTGGTACTCACTATATTGTTGCTCTTTGAATGCTGATGAACAACATTTAATAGTGGATGAATTCTAGTTATTTTGAATAATGATTCATTGTGAATGCCTTCAGTTATTTTCGTCTTTGTATACTTTGAAATGGCAGGATGGTCTATGTTGTATGAACTAATTGAACCCATAAAAAGAGAGCAACGGAAACATCAAAAATTTGAAACATATCTGCCAAAATATATATATTCATTCATAGATACAATACATTGAATAACACAAATAGAGCTTCTGGTGAGTACATTCATCAAACTAAAATACAATTGGAGACTACATTGATCGAACTAAAATACAACTACATCTTCTGACATTCCGTTAACTAGATTATAGACAAAAATTCAAATACATTATTACATTGCATAACAAGATAAAATATAATATTAGCTTCAACACTTTCTTCCACTTCAATTGTCTTTGTTGATTGTTGCTCTTCTTTAGCAAACTCAATATCACAACATTTGCTTGCCTAGGGAATTGGGGGTCATACCACTCGAAATATTCACATGGGCTGCGCCATTTAGACCGTGTGGAATCAAAATAAACAAAATTAGAACTTAGGAAAAATCAAACAAAATACAACTCATTCGAAAATTTCAGAAATTAACCTACCCCATAGTACTTACAACCGAAGAATCTAAGCCCCGGATTATCATTTGACCATAAAATTTTCAATACTGGAGGATACCCCCACACACAAAATAACTTCCGCTTTGAATCCATGAAGTTAAATTGGAAGAAGACGTAGAAAGTTGATGGCATGAATAAGGAAAGGCACAACAGATGTTCTTTAATGGAGGAAGGGATGTAGAAGAGAATATATAGGAAAAAAGAGAGAAAGAGTCGTTGGAGCAATCATATTTGGGTTAAAATTTATGTTCCACGCGCCCAACTAAGTTGGCATCTACTTCCTATGTCAGGTGACATAAGAAGGGGGTATTTAAAAATGAAAAATTTTAGGACCCCGTATAATAAAAGGGAAAACTAAGTAAAAGTCGTCAAGTGTGGGAGAGTCCCTAATATTTTTTCCTTTTCTCTATGGAGAAAAAAATCAATCGAGGAAAAATAAGGGAATGATAGAGGAGACGAAAGTCATGAAGATGAGTTAGAGTGAGGAATTGACTTTCGGAAAAAGTTTAGAACACAAACTATGTATTTTCCTTAGTTTTTTTGAATTTTAATTGTTTATGGGAGAATATAGCAGCTCTAGTCCCTCGATTATTGCCTTTTTATGAATTTGGTCCTTGTATTAGTGGACTGTACATCTAAACATCAATTAAATAAAATGTGCAATTTTAGTCCTTAATCAGCTAATCTTTTTTACTTCCACCCTTTCTTTTCGAGTTTCTTACAATGCTTTGTGACCTATCCAAGAGAAAATGTCAAAATGGTTGAAGATTTTGGGGGTAAAGTGTAGCTGGATATTAGTATTAATTAGTATATATGTAATGTAATCTTACTATATCAGGTAAGGATTTATTGTTTGCTAGTGGCTACTTCCCTACCAAGATTATTCTTATCTTTTATAATAGTATATACACTTGTATGAATACAAGGATACACTATTATGACATTATTTCATTGCCAAATTTGATAAGCTTGTTTCCAGAACAATCTTCTTTCTACATATTCTATAGTTTTGTGCTTCTATCTCTCAACTTAACCAATCTAGGTGACTCTAACTTCTTACCAGGTTGAGGTTTTTCTTTTTGCTCCAAGCTCACCCTGTAGCTGGACTCTGTATTCCTTTTTTTTTTCCTTGTTATATATAAGAAGCAAGTTTTTTAGATAAAATAGATAATTGGAGAATGACATATCTTTTTTGTTATGGTTTTTTTTCTCTTTCTTTTTCTTCGCTTTCACTATCTTTAAACAAACAGTCCAACAATTAGGGGTGGGAATAAAATCCGAAAAATCGAATTCCGAATCGAACCGAATTAATTTGGTATTTCGGTTTCGATTTTTTAGGTATTTTAGTTTATTTCGGTACAGAAATTACGGTATTTCGGTAGTTCGATACGGTATACGGTCTTGGATTTTTGATATTTTGATATTTCGGTATACCTAAATACCGAAATAGTTTAGTCCAAGATTAACTTTATTTTTATTTTTTAGCCCAATAACCTTAAGCCCACACCCCAAAAGTCCAAAACCCCTAATTCCCTAATCCCTTACCCTTAGGCTTAGTCGCTTAGAGGCAGACAAGAATTTCAAAAAACCCTCACGACTTTGCTTGGTTACTGCGACAGTCGGATTCACAAGTTACGACTAACGACTACAACCTCGGCGACGACGACTCCTCTCCTCGACGATTGCTTGTTTGCTCATTGTTGACCTTCATTCAGGTTCATAACTTCTCCATTATTCATTGTTGATCTTCATTCATGCGAGCTATAATCATATTTCTAAGCTATAACAATTTGTAGGCCCAGAATTATTAACTTCTAAAGTTGTTGTGGCCTTTTTATGTAGGTCTACTTAAGTCTAATAGAGTTACTACGGTGTTCTATATTTAGAGATGCGCTAGGTCATAGTTGTCAGTATGTGTTCATCTTTGAGGTTTAGCTTGTTGTACTGGTGCGTTCAATAACCCTAATTTACTTTTTTCGGGATCTATGTCTACTATGTGTATTACATTACCAGATCAATAAAAAATATATTGTAGTATTTTGATTACCAGATTAATTTGGATTAGTTTTCTTAGAGGGTTAGAGCTTTTGCTACAGAGTATTAGAGCTTTTGCTACTATCAACAGATTACTGCGTAATCTACCTATATTTCTGTATGTTATTCTAAAATTTTGGCTTTTTTCGAGCTTAATCATACTAGAAGTAGAAAATGACCACTTTATTTATTTCCAGGAATGACAAACTAACTAGATGGGGAATAGTTTTTCCTTATGGTGTGTGATCTGCTCTTGTATTAGGCTGTTCTCTGCTCATTACACGACCATTCGCCCTTGTAGTGTTCAATTTAGTGTTTTGGTTTAAACAATTTGTGTTTATATTTATTTTGATTTTTGTATAGATGGTGGATGAAAGTAGAGTAAGTGATGTTGGTTCAACTAAAAGCTTACCTATTACTGATGATAGCAACGCCAACACAATTGATACTCAAGATTCTAAGAAAAAAAATGGCATAGAACCTAGATCTGAAGTTTGGAAATATTTTGATAAATTTCAGAAAAATGGGGTCGGTAAAGCAAGGTGTAAATATTGTAAGCAAGCTTATACTGCTAATTCATCTAAGAATGGAACAACATGATTGAGAAGTCATTTGAATAGATGCAAAGAATACCCACCTAACAATGATAAAGATAATACTCAGACAAGGATAAACTTTAAATCTTGCCAAAATGATAGAGGATCGCTTTGAAAATTCGAGCTTGGTAAGCTTTAATAATTTGTGTGTATTTTAGTTCAAAATAATATATCATACTAGTTTATTTGTATGCATATTTGGTCGAATTATCTTTAGATATGGAAAATAATGGAAGCACTACTAGCATTATTTGATGTATAGTTGCAATTTGCAACTTGAATGGTAAGTTTAATACTCTATTTGTTTGGTGATATACTTTTGTAGTTTTGTTCTATTATCATCAAAAAATAATATTCTAACTTATGATTTATCTTTTTTTTTTATGTTCAAGTGTAATCATGCCCCGTGATCCTAAAGTATACTCTCATATATGGGAACACTTTGAGGTGATAGAAGATAACAAAGAAGTTCGCAAAGTAGAGTGCAAGCATTGTGATCGAGTCTATAATATTCATCCAAAGAGGGATGACAGATATTGTTTAAGGAAGCATATTAGGCGTTATGNGTGATGATGGAGATTAATTACCTTTAAAAAGCTTAGTGTCTGCATGCAACAATGGCTGAAAACCATTTATTAGAAAATTCAATGAGGCGTAAGAACATGTGGAGTTAATTGGGTTTGTAACTTCAAGAATATGCAGGACATAATATAAGAAAAGATTGGAACTTGATTGAATTAGAATTTCATGCAAATCCATATTAGGAAAATATTAGTACAATTTTATCCAACATAAATATAATATGGCCATTAATTTGGCTTTTTTTCAAGTGGAAGCCAAGTTTTTATGACATTAATCATGACATCATATCCACTGTAACAAAATTTGTGGACCAAGTTTTCATGACATCATATCCACTATTAGACCAATGATTTCTTGCTATAAATAGAGGAACTTCTCCTCATTTGTAAATACACCAATTCAAGAGCTTTTCACTCTTGTCTTTTTTTCTCCTCCTTTATTTCATTATAGAGTATTTTGTAAGAGAGTGAGTGTTGAGAAACACTTGTGTGAACCCTTTCTTTGGAGTAATCTTGTGAGGTTATTCTCTTGGGGTATTTGGGATTAATTAGAGTATTTACTCTAATTTTGTACTCTCTTTTGTACTCTTGTTGGTATAAAATTGTTCCTCTCCGCTCGTGGACGTACGTCACCTATAACTCTTGCAAGGTACTCAAAATTTATTATGCAAAACACCAATTCTGTTCATACAAAGGGGTACATTACAAATAATTGAAATATAAGAGAATGTTGCTACTGCATTGTTAAACAAAATGAAAGCTACAAACTGTTTGACAGGAATTATTTGGCAAATATGGGAAGAGCAAGTGTCACGACCCAAAATTCCACCACAGGTATCGTGATGACACTTAGTCTCTAAGACTAAGTAAGCCGATTTTAATTATAATTTAAGCCATTTTTTTTAATAAACGAAACCAACAACGGAAATAATTATAACATCTTCCCAAGACTGGTAATACTGAGTCACGAACTCTAACTGAATACATAGAATGATCACGAGGACCAAATATACAATACTGTTTGATTAAAAATTAACAGTACAATGAAATGAAGAGACTCCAAGGGACTGCGACGACCAAGCAACTCTACCTTGAATCCTTGCGATCATACTCTAACTCTGTCCGGGTCCGATACCTCCAATACCTGGCTCTGCATAAAAATATGTAGAAGTGTAGTATGAGTACACCACGGTCAGTACCCAGTAAGTATCAAGACTAACTTCAGTGGAGTAGAGATGAGGTACAGTCAAGACACTCACTAGTCAAATAACCTGTGTAATATAGCACTATACAATAGTACTGGAAAACAACTAGCAATGATAATAACAAACTCAACCAGTGATATAACAACAAGGCAACAAGAACATCATAATTATTACTCAGGCGAATAAGGAACATAAGTACAATCAATAAGTCAAGTCCTTCAAATATAAATCCTTCACATATTATTCTTTAAGATAAATATCTTTCGAATCTACTTCTTTTGAATAATTATCTTTCAAATATACTTCTTTCCAATAAATATATTTTTATGTAAAAGTTACCATGTGACACCTCATTTCACAATCATAAAAATTACGGGTCTCAACCCACTTTCATATTTTTCACGGCACCTCATGCCCATATTTTTATCACCATCACACCGACAACTCACGTGTCAATAATAAAATCATCATATTTTTTCCCGGCACCTCATGCCCATATTATTTTCATAACTGCATGGACAACTCACGTACCAAAATATCAATGTATATAAGATCCGCAGGATCAATTTATTTTCAATAAAGTAAGGTTAAAAATCTTTAAATCAAGTAAGAAATCAACAAAAAGATAAGTTTATTTTAGAAATCATTTGAGTGAGGAAAAATGACATTTCCATTAAAATAAAGCATCAGATAAACTACTGATTTGGATGTAGAATTTATTAAATTAAAGATATTATAAATTTTTCTTTTATTTAAAATAACTCCATCATCAAAAACAAGTACAACCCAAAAATACAAATCCTTAAAGTCTCGTAAAAAAAGTCAAGGTCAACACAATACAT